TGATGTTCTGCGAGAGTCGTTCCAATTCAAGTCATCAGGGGCCATTTTTTTATTTTTTATTTTTGCTTGAAACTCTGATTGTAGACTGTTCAAAATGGTATCTGTGAATTTTTTTTGATATATCCAGTACTTTCCAACATAATATTTTTTGGAAAAACTGCCACTTGACCCACTTTCTGGACGTTTTTTTTTTTTTTGTTTTTTTCTTTTCTTTTTTCGGACACAGAAAAAACACTTCAGGAACTATTTAAGATAAAAGCCTGACATTTGCACTGTTATTTCTCATCGGATCGTTGATTCAGAAACTGTAAATATAAGTAAACTAAATGATTTCTGATTATTTGAAAAATAAAAAACAAGTCCCATCTCTGAGCAGAAGCTGTTCTAAAAAAAAGTGGTAATTTGAGATAGAATGGATGAGTCACTACTTTATTTACAGGTTTGCATAGTTGGATAAATAAAGAACATTTTCAGGATTTAAGATTTTTTGTTTGTGTTTTCAATATTGGCCCATAAATATAACTGACAGCAGAGGAAAATAAAGTGTAGGAGCCTAAATCTATGTCTTTGGTTCTGGATTTGGTTCTTATTTTCCCATGATTATTTCTATTTGGTTTTGATTTGATATAGATTATGATTAACATTTTTATTTTGCTAAATATATCTGTTATTTGGTTAACTGTTGTTAATCATATTTTTGGATATTTGAATTCTGTGTTAGTGTGGTGTTTTGGTTTATTGATTTGTTTTTGATATTTTGGGTTCGCTATATTAGGGTCCCTTAAATTTGCAAGGGCTCTTGGGAAATGAATGATGGCATGGAGCCAAGCAGTTTTTTGACTGCACACGCTTTGTATCCTCGTTTTGCTTTATGTTTTCCGTCTGTAAATTTTATTTTTGTGAACTAAAGAATCCTGTTTAAACCGCAACTTGGTGTCAGCTGGATTTTGTCGTTGGAGTACACCCAGCAAGGCACACAATGTGGATATTGGAAAGCTACAGGGAAAAGTTAGTCAAGCTGGGCTTCATGAACTTTAGACCATACACAACAAGTTTGTGAATTTAGTTGACAGAGAAGTGAACACACAGACTGCTCAGAAATCTCACAGTTTGGTGAATTGGTAATTGATTTGAAATGATATGATCTCTTCACAGACTTTAGCAAGACTCGCATCATTTGTGTGCAGGAGAATAAAATTATAAGTAAAGGTGGACTGACGGGCGGAATGATCAAGTTTTGAATCACTATATTTACTAAGTTTGATCTATATTATCCATTGACTTGCTTCATTCAGTTTGCTCTACGATGTCATAGCCGTTAAAATTAAAATGTCTATAAACTCACTTTTTTTTTTAAATGCATTGAAGACTGAGAGTCTATTAATGAGAATCATCAGCAGTGTTTCTTCATGAATGTAACCTTGGTTTCGCGACAACATTATCCGCTCTGTTTGCCGCTTCTTTTCAGCTGCTCTTTATCTGAGCTATCCGACAGCAGCGGGACTGATATGAACGTTTTGTAACGGAGAGAGCTGCTGTGCATATTAACTTCATTAATTATTCGTATTTATTAGCGATCCCTGACAAGGAGACCAGATCAGTCAGGACCCAGTGCTGACCTGCACTTCTCTACACCTGAGACAGGGAGGCTGACACACGGTTTAGAGGCTGGAATCTAATTATTTGTTATATAGTGCCAGTCATCAGGTTTCTGTCAGTCAGCAGGAGGCGGACAAACTTTAAAACTAAGGGGGGAAAAAAAGTTTGATGATATCATGAAGCAGTGAGGGATCATGGGAGTTGTTGCCCTCGTTATTTTTTATTTAAGTTTTATTTATGTTACATTTAATTATGCTGTGTCATTTAATTCTAACATAATACCTGCAAGTAATGTGATTCTAACTGCTAGCCACTCGCTCAGACGAGTGGACGACCCATAAACCTACTATAGCTAACATCATGTTTTATATTCAGTCGCTGCCCAGTGTTGTTATCTGTGGTCAAAGCAAACATAATCACCATCTTTCACAAGTGAGCAATACAAATAATAGAATTACAAGATAATCAAGAAAGTGGCAAGATAGC